CGGAATTGATCATACAGAGGTACATCTTTGGATGGCATAGCGGCCCCAAGAGGATAAAATGGCCCCACTGAAAGCGGAATTGATCATACAGAAGTACACCTTTGGATGGCATAGCGGCCCCATGAAGAGAAAATGGTCTCACTGAGAGCGGAACTGATCATGCAGAAGTACACCTTTGGATGGCATAGCGGCCCCAGGATGAGAAAATGGTCTCACTGAGAGCGAAATTGATCATACAGAGGTACACCTTTGGATGGCATAGCGGCCCCACGAGGACAAAATGGCCCCACTGAAAGCGGAATTGATCATACAGAAGTACACATTTGGATGGCATAGCGGCCCCATGAGGAGAAAATGGACCCCCTGAGAACGGAATTAATCGTACAGGAGTACACCTTTGAATGGCATAGCGGCCCCAGGATGAGGAAATGGACCCCCTGAGAGCGGAGTTGATCATACAGAAGTACACCTTTGAGTGGCATAGCGGCCCCGAGCGGAAAAAAGTCGCCACGAGGGCAGAATTGAACATAATCGGGGGACGCGGTATATCTACAGTTGGGCCAACTGAGTTGGCCCACCCGTTATCACCGAGTGGCATAGCTGCCCCGCCTAGAGAAATTGCGGTTCTTAAAACCAGTTTTTGTTATTGCTATTCGCAGACGCATGTCGGCTCTCTCGGGATATCTACAAATGCACGTGACAGCCGCTTTCCGTAGCACGAGCGAAGGCGACAGCGAAATGTCGCATCTTTGCGCGAAAGAAGTAGTTCCGTCGAGAGGGAGACGGTGTCGGATGGCCCCGTGTTGTTGTCCGAGTCGTGTCTCGATGCTCTTGGGCTGCTCCGGATGTGTGTGCCTCCTCCCAAGCTGTTGTATTTCACTGATAAGAATATGCTCAGTTCTTTTGCGTGGACTTGTCGCACGCTCTGAGAATGGCACTTCTACTCACCTTCATCGTACTCACGTCTGCTGTCTCACTAGTGACCGCGGGTAAGGATAAGTTCCGCGAGCTGCAACTGCTCTATGCTGCTACGGAAGAGAGAGTTCACTATATTTTCATTCCCGATCCACGTACATGGCCACGTGGAGTCTTGTCCCATCTTAGAGAAAAAAACCTAATTCGCTCAGAATATATTGTGGATGGTGTTCGCGTTGTTCACGCGAACTCGTACATAGTTAAGGCTGACG